GTGCATCACTTTTCAGTGTGGCACATTTTTTAATTTTTTATTTGCATGGTTATTTAACTGCAGCACGCGTCTCCTAATGGAGATGTTTTTACAGTTATAATGCGATACCTGTGTATTAACTGGGTACCGACCACTACTGTGTATTCAAATCTAATGAGTCAAAATGTACACTTATCCTAAAGTTAAACATTAAATAACTTAGATGAAGATAAAATCCAAAAAGGCAAACAAACTGTTAAAAGAAATAATGGAATTTTCAATTAAAGTCAAAGAATAAATTAATCTGGGGTTAAAACCATTTTATAAGCTGGAAATATACTTTTTCCTTGGTACAATTTTGGTGTCATGCAACTTCCACCCAACTTCAGCCCCCTTTCTTCTCACAGTAAATGCTATGTCTAAACTTGAGACATTTTAAACATTTTGTAATAAACCACCTGAATGTTTTACAAAAGTTTGTGCTGTCTGACATTACTTGAAAGACATTATCATACGAGTATTCATTATTTTTCCCAGCCGAACTAGCCCTTTCGTATTTGTTTTACTTTAAAGGTGGATGTGTTTGCTTGTAGGAGGATCTGGGGCTGTCTGAAGGACAGGCAGAGCACCGGTCATAAACGTCCAGCCCTGAGAGCCAAGCACCAATAAACAGGCCGGAGTAGACGGACTAAACCGCTGTGCATCCACCACTAATCTGAGGACGTTACCCATCATTTGTCTTTACACCTGCAGGGAGAACAGCACCAGAGGACACACTCTTCTCCACAAGTGGATCAGAGGCATACATTCAGGAGTTAGAAATGGATAAAGTTACATTTTTATGTAGTATTTATACATGAGCCCTGTTTAAAGAAGAAAAGAAAGAATTGCCAAAGAGTGTTAAAATGCTTATTAATTTAAGTAACATTATTCTGCATTGAAAATGTTCCTTATAAATATGTAATCAGAAAAATTAACTAGTATCTAATTACGATTCTAAATAAAATACTTTTGCCTGTAATATATAATTTTTAAACTGTTTTGTTTAAACTTACTATGATGTGACTTGCTCCATAGCTGCTGCTATCCAATCAGAAGACCATAACTTCACTTGTGCAGAAATCTTACAGTATGTCTCCTTTTTACCACCAACATTTGTGGTCATTTCACGATACAGTTGTGGCACAGGAAGGGAAAAATACAAAACAATAAAATGAATTAGTCATTTACTTTAGAACTGAAAAAACAAAAGATAGTTGTTTAAAAGTAGCCATTTTACGTATTTATCGACGCTGGTGAACTGATTTTGATAATATTTTACCTTTTTTTTAAATTTATAATATTGTTCAACTAAACTATCTTTCACAATAATGAAACTCCTCATCTCACCAACTTGAAATAGGCTACACTGAAAAAACTGAAACGTTGACTGTACTAGGTTAGTTGAAAGCAATAATATTAAGTTTGAATAAAAAATATTAGGTTCAACTTAATATTATTGCATTTAACATTCAACATTACATTCCAATATATGGTATTAAAGTAAAAGTATAATGATAACCTACATTTTTCAGGGTATGTTTGTAACCTTGGAAATCCTTTTAATGTGATATTTACATTACTTTATTTTAACATTAAAACAAATTAATCTTTGATAGATATACATATTGTAATTGTTTAACAATTTTAGAAGTTGCTAATTTTACACAATTTTCTTTACATTCCTTACTATCTTTTAACAAAACATGTAATATTCATGTTTCTCCAATCACTTCTTTGGATGTCAAAATCAAAAACACACTATTGGAATAGCTAATACATTTATTGCTCATATCGTTGCCCCAACTTATTTTGTAGTATCCTAAAAAAGCCACAGACTTTTCCTTTTTTCCCTGAGGACTGATGCGTGCTGACGGATGTTCTCACTAATTCAGACGTCCGGCTAATTCCTCAGTAGGAGCTCGGTGTCCCGCCTCCCTGGGGAGACTTAAATCAGCGTTCCTGTGACAGGACTTCTGAGTGGCAGCTACGCCCCCAATCAGCACCTCATAATAACCTCACTCAGCAGAGGTCAGCCCCGCCCCCTGCTCCTGGAGAGGGGCAATGTTGTAGGAGTTAACATTAACATGGGGTCCAAGATGTGAAAGGGTGAAATGTTAAGTGAATTGCACAAACAGATTCTTTGAGATTTGACATTTTTGAAATGTCTGTTTACAGATTTCACCATCTTAGTTTCTATTACATTTGCTTATCAACACCAAACGCCAAGTACAGCTGAAGCTAATGGGAAATTGTTATTTGTGCTTGGTGATAAATCAAATTGATGTTTTGACCTGATGTCGCTGGATTCCTCCTAAAGAGGAAGGTGTTTTTGCCAAATGTTGTTCCAATTCATTCAGTGGTTAAGATATAACATCGTAAAGCATTAAAAGAAGTCAGGATGATTTACGTCACTGTGATTCATCGTTTAGGGACCATGACATTTTGTCCAATTTCAGTATGGTCTAAAATAGTGGAAGTAAATCAGGGGACACTGGTGTGTTCAATTTAAAATCATGACCCTTTTTTATGTCTAGTGGGATGACCCATGACCTTTGATTGGGAATTTAATCACCAAGTCAATGGTATACAAATCTGAAAATATGTCATTTTATGAAGTTTCACCTGTGTAGGCATTCTGTTTCCTGAAGTTATAAAATATTTTAAAAATATTATAATGTGACATGTTTCCTTGATTTCAATGAGATTTCCTCATTGAGGATTTATTATTATTTATTATTCTATTAGGGGGGTTGTACATTCTAGAAACGTTAAGTTATGACTGTGATTCCGGCTAAGACCCCAGAAATGTTGAACAGATAATAAGAATTTTAAAAACGTTTTACATTTTTTTCTTTGGTCCAAACTAGGACATCTCCAAACTCACGAATGTATGAAGTGTTTTCAAATGTGTTGCAGATTATTCATGTTCCCCAGAGGATACATCATCATGACGTTGGTGATCCACAGATTTTCTCTCTGGCGCCACCATGAGGTTGTTGTTGTTGTTGGTTGGATGGTTATAAAAATATCCCTCTAAAAATATATTGTCTAATAATAACAAAATATTATTAATTTATATTATTAGATATTCTATTATTATTATTATTATATTTGGCTTGAAATTCATATATGTACATGTGTTTTTCAACGTTTTTTCTATTTTCAGGTGGCACATATCTGTTTCTTTTTTGTGTTTTTAAAACATATTTTATTTATTTATTTAACTCGCATGTGTTATGTTATGTAATAGACTGTAGGCCTACTGTGCTCAGCCTCACTATGTAACGTTTATAAAGAATATGTATTTTCCTCAGAATTGATTCAGCTATCAAATGCACATCCAACATGAGATATTCAAATAACCATTCCTGCATCTTCATCATGCATCAAAATACAAAATAGAGAAATCAGACGTTATGCCAATAACAAAACTTCCTGCAGTGTAAACTTTTATTCCGGTCCGTGTTTTGGTCTTTTATCAACGAACAACATGAATAAATTTATTACGCGTTGTGGTCCAGGCCTCCCACTCCCCACAAATCTACTCGGCCGGCACAAACTGCAAAGCCACACTCGTCACCTTGAAATTTCCTCTGCTATTTTCCAATTAAAAGCTTAATAGCCCTGGAGACGGGCTTCATGTGGGGAAGTTTACCATGCTCTTATTCTCTGTAAGCCGCGCCAGGCTCGGATCCCATTATTTGCTTGAATAAACCTTTTTTACGGTCAGAAATGGGCCCCGGCTTTGTCCGGTGTTATGTTTCAATGCCCTCTATTAGTCCAGCAGAAGGGACATATCAGCATCCTCGACATAGTTCCCAAAGGGGTTTTTATACATGTAGAGACCTAATCATCTAAGTTATGTACGATTGTGTAAAAGGTGCGAGAAGCTGCGAGCACTTTGCCCGAATTAAGTCGTATAGCCTGCAGGCAACAGGGAGGGGAAATAAACAAGTCCTGACTTATAAAATCCTAATTAATTTATCGGAAGAGTCGAATGCTGATATTTGGGGAAATGCATAGTTTTGACAGCTTGTCATATGTTTTAGTTGAGTTTTGAGAACAACATTTGTTCAATGTTAGAAATTAAAAAGGCATTAACTTGTGCAATTAGTATTTTAATGGGGTTTGTTTTATGCAGGGACAGTTTTCATCCTCATTGTTGCCGGCTGGAATATTAATTGTGATATTCAGTTGAGTGCTATTGATGCAGTTAATTCATTTAGTGCTTTTATTTTTGCATTAAATCATGCACTTGGTCTTTTTTTGTTTTACTTTGCATTGTAACGTAACACACACTTGCATAATCTATCAAATGAAAAAGTATATTTTTGATATTCACATGACTGTTACACATATCTTAAAGGTATTAATATATTAAAGAAAATGTTATTTGTATGTTAAATTGTTAAAACTGAAATGATAGCCATATTAAAAAAATAACTATGAGTGTCACTAAGAGTTGTTTATTTTGTACAGAGGTAAAATGTAAATTTGACCTTTTTTGGGACCATTTGTGTTGTTGCAGCTTCCCATCTGAAATGGGCCTTCAAATAATGTCAACTTCTTTATTACAAGCCTTGACAAGGTTCTTAATACAAAGAGAATGTCAGTTTCCACTGCAGAACACAATGTTATAGTCTTTAACCTATTTCTTAAGGGAAACATTATCTGATCCTCACATGCACTTTTGTTTCATCCCAGCCTCACGTGGACATTTTTTGCAGCGTGCTTTGACGCGAGTGACAGCGTTTGGTTACTCGTCGTCTCAATAAGTGCGTGTCAGCCCTGATGCATATCTGTGCTGTCAGCCGAGGGAAAGTTGGATCCTCCACAACAAGCCCACACCCCTTCTCCTCATCCTGCCATGCGTGTGGCTGAGCAGCTCCATCCAGCTCCATCTCTCTGCTGCTGACACCACTCCCCCACCTCGCCTCTCCGCAGATGCACTTGCTCGTCCTGGAGAACACGCTCCCACGATGAATGGCTACGGGTCCCCCTACTTGTACATGGGGGCTCCGGTGTCTCAGCCCCGGGCCCCGCTGCAAAGGACCCCCAAGTGCGCGCGGTGCAGGAACCACGGCGTGCTCTCGTGGCTCAAAGGTCACAAACGCTACTGCCGCTTCAAGGACTGCACCTGCGAGAAGTGCATCCTCATCATCGAGCGGCAGCGCGTCATGGCGGCGCAGGTGGCGCTCCGCAGGCAGCAGGCTAACGAGAGTCTGGAGAGCCTCATCCCGGAGTCCCTCAGAGTGCTGCCCGGCCTCGGCATGCCCCGAGCCGGTGAGGGGAACCATGGAGCCCCGCCGAGGACAGAAGAGCTGGAGCTGAGGTGGAGCAGCACGGAGCCGGTTCATTCCGGAGGGCATACACGCACAGCAGGTGGGAGGATAACAACCAGAGCTGCAGGAAAATAGTTTGGCGAAATGTGTTTCACATTTCTGATGAGCTATTACTTTTTATTTGATGGAAGAAAATGTCAAATTAAGAAACAAATTATGGGTAATTTTAAACTGCTATGATCAGAAGGATGGCTATTACAAAAATAAATAACTTAATAATAATAATACTTCACAAAGTGCATATTATGTGATTGGAATAAGTTACCAATATAGGCTTTATTGTTTTTATTATGATAATTGTTTAAAGTTTTCACAAAATACGGCAGATTAAATATGTAAGTCCAAGATATGTTTATTAAAATGTCCCAAGATCATTATATTTCTAAATAAACAAATGTGCAGATATGAATGGGGTTGAGATTATTTCTTGTAAAAACTGCTTTTCCTTTACAATGATTCTAAAATGATAGTGTGTTGAGTGTTCAAAAACACTTTACGGTTTGATCATTGGGATACATTTAAAAGTAATATTTCAGTTACAAAGAATTTACTTAAAACAGCTCCATTAAATGTTGCTTCATGGCACTTCGCAAAATGAAAACATTCTTTAAAAGATTTCAAGTCATCATAAGAAAGATACAACTTTATTATTCCCCGAGGCCGAAATTATAATGCTACAGGAGCACACATGTATTGGTAATAAAACAGATAACTTAAATACAAATAATAATAAAATAAAATAATGTTTTATTAAAATGTTGACAAAGTTAGATTAAAAAATAAATAAACAAACCTCATTTAGATTTTTGATATTAAGGTGGATTCATTTGACCTGGTAGCATTGTTATTGCGTTAATTTTTTCTATTATCTTGCTTTTGATTGTTTCTATATATTTATTAATGGAAACATGCATGTTGTTTCTATTTTATTTGACAAGGAATTATTTCCTTTATGTCTGCAATATATCCTACAACAATAATTATGTGTTATTATTTTATAAAATATATGTGACGTAGCCAATTTCAATTTATTTATTTTCACTGTATCACCTCGTAGGTTTGGCTTTTTATATTTAATTTCGGTATCGTTTGCCTTCCCTCTGTTGGTAAAAGCAAACTAGCGGTTATTTGGATTTTAATGAAAAGTCAAAATGCTCAATATTTCAACCAAATATTCCAGTCATAGGCCTATGGTTGTTCTTCTACTCCACTTTGGTGGTTTTCTGGGACACAAACATCTGGACACAAGAAGCGATCAGCTGACTCCAGATCCGCTCCATTACCCGGACAGGCGGAGCTGAGTGCTTTAAAAGATGACAGTAATCAGCGCAGACAGCACCAATCCGATGTAATCGCCATTTCTCTCGAACGAGGTCAAGTTCAGATGAAATGTTACCGAGCAACACGCGATCTGTTCACAAAATGTGGTCAAAAGGCATCGACGGTAGATTCCTCACTGACACACAGTCAGCACTTTGTGTTAACAGCTTTAGGGAGGGGGCGTGAAAAACATCCTCATCAGTCTCTGTTGGAGACAAGCCATTCATTGTGTGTCAAGTTTCCTCCTGAGGAGAGCTTTTGGACTTAGAGTGCAGAAAATAAATGTTTCTGAAGTCAGATAAATGCAGCTGAACTGTTATGACCCCCCTGCCCAAACTTGTCTTCTGACTCTTTGTTCTGATGTGTTGCAGAGCCAACGAATGAGGGTACTGATGAGGGGTCCGGAGGAGAGAACGGGGGGAGCTCCAGTGAGAAGGAGCAGGAGCAGGAGGCTGTCAGCTCCCCTGAAGGCTCCAAACCGAACTCCTGCTACACCCCGGAGCCCCCAGAGACGCCCTGCAAACCGGAGGAGAGCAGCTGCAGCCTCTCTAAAGCCGGCAGCGCTGGGAAAGAAGTGAAGACCGAGAGTCCTCACAAGCTTCCGGTCAGCTCCGGAGAGCAGAGTGTAGTCATTGAAGGCCTCGCGGGCTCCATCAACCTGCCCTTCAGCCTGCGGGCCAATCGGCCGCCGCTGGACGTCCTCAAGAAGATCTTCCCCGCTCACAAGCCTCCTGTCCTGGAGCTCATCCTCAGAGGCTGCGGGGGGGATCTGGTGGGGGCCATCGAGGTGCTGCTGTCCAGCCGGGGTCCTGACGGGGGCGCGCACCCGCAGAACGACCCGCACCCTGAAACCCTGTTGCTGCCTTCAAACGGACACCTGTTCGAGCACATGGGCTCATACCACCCGGTGTCCTCCAGCGCCAAGTGGTCGGTGGGCTCTGCTTTCCGGGTCCCCGAGTCGCTCCGGTTCACAACGGACCCGGCATCGGGCGTGGTGTCCACGGGACCGCTGGGTGTCCCCATGCAACACCCGTCCTTTCCGCAGCCCACGCGCTACCCGCTCATGTTGCGCAACTCTCTGACGCGCAGCCAGGGCAGCCCCTTCGTACACAATGACGTGACTCTGTGGAATACCATGGCCCTCCAGCAGCAGTACCAGCTCCGCTCGGCGGCCCAGTACGTGTCCCCGTTCTCCCCCGCAGCCGCCGTGGGGCCCGGGGGATCAGTGTTCCGTAGCTCCGCCATCCTGCCCTCCAGACCCTCCGAGGAGCAGCGCATCAGCATCCAGGAGGAGAGCTGCACGCTGGGGCCCAAACCCGGCCTCTACTCCCCGGAGGAGGAGTACGAGGAGCGCTCCGACTCCGCAGACTCGCGCATCCTCAACTCCTCCACCTGAAGAAGCTGCGGATGGACTAACACAGCAGGGGGGGGGCGCGCCAAAAATGTATTATTTTTTAAAGGACATCCGGTGTGCGTTTAGGGTCTTTTTCTGTCTTGTTTTGAATTGAACTGTGTGAAGCAATCACCCGTTGATGAGGTGATGTTAATCCTTTTAACGTCATCCACTCATGCCCTCAAGTTGTCACGTGCCACGACCAAAAACGGATGAATGGAACAGACTCACGCTGATTTGAAAGTCTCTCATCTATTTCCTGCAAGCATGTTTACTGTGAACACTTTTGATGTAAACGATCATCAATGCATGTGAAGAGTATGCCAAATAAATCTGAGTTTTCCAAATGGACCAGATTGTTGTCTTTTAGTCACTATTACTAAGGTTTTCATTTTAAATTGGCCTAATTTATATAGACACATGTTGTATGTGTTACATTGGTCATCATTGTTTACCTGAACGTATAGCTCCACATTTATCAGCTCCAATATTTATTAATTATAATATAAATATGATTCTGAAATTATTTGCATAATAACTACTTTATAACTTTGTGTACATTATTTGATGCCAATACTAAGTAAAAAGAGATTACAAATCTGATTTATTTTGTATTTTTGCACTGTAGTATTTTACATAAGAAATACTGAAAGAAATATTCAAATTCACTCCTCTGGGTTTAGGAATTGGGATGTCCTTCAAGATGAAGACGAGATCCATTTCCGGGTCACCAGACAGACGATGCATGGATGGAAGATCGAGGAGGCACAACCTTTAGAAATAAAAAGTTTTCTGAGAGCAACTTTTTATAATGACATTTTGTGGGCCTTTATTTAACATACAGTGTTTCAAAGGGGGAGACAGAGGAGATGACCTGCCTTATACTTCCTCAGGAGTCAAACCTACTTGGCAGCGGACAATGCATATTTGTACAGCAACTTTTAGTCCAATGGAAAAGGTCAAAGGTCAGAACTGGTTTTTAGCCTGAAACCCAAGCACAATATTTTGACCTTTTATCTGGAATAACCTCATTTGGTATCAACAGACAGCTGCACGCCCAGAGCTCTGCATGAATTGAGTGCACAGACAGAGGTCCATTGAAATAATGTATCAATATAGGAAACAAAACATAATAAAGCAAATACAGTGAGAGGGCCGTGGGAAGTAGGGGTGCTGAGGGTGCTGCAGCACCCCCTGGTGGAGGACAGGGGATCTGCACTTCCACAAGATTAAATACAAATATAATACAAAAAGAATACCAAAAAAAAACGAATTTTCAGCCTTGATGTAACAACATTCATAATTAAGTAAAGATAACACCCTTTTCACCCCATGCTTTCACACATTCTGCTTCCACATTGAAAAAGAGCAGCTCAAAATGTTCGTTATGTGGAAACAATATTGAAGAGAAGGCTCCGTAACACATTACTCTAAGGATCGAGTTCAGACATATAGGCTGTCTTGAACACTATCATCAGAGTAACGTGATCTAATCAATAAATAAAGATTCAGCCGATAACATGAAAGCACATGGCTACTTAACATACAGAATGACGTAATTGTGCAGGCTAAGTGGCCATGTGCTTTCTGGGGCTAAATCTTTATCGGTAAACCGATTTAACCGGTAAAAGTTCCTTCAAAATAAGAGTCCCGATCACTATCAAAATAAAAGTGCAAAACGAAAACTTTACCATAGGAAAATATTGGCATACAAATATAATCACTTCTCTAAAAGGTAACTAATTTTAAATATAGTTTATTTATATATAATAATAATATTAATATTAGTAATAAGCTTTGAATAGCACCTATTACAAGAATTGTAGCCAAACTTGCTTCACAGCAGTTCAATAGACAGATTAGTATAACATGACAGGATAAAAGCAATGTAGAGGAGCAGCTACATTTCAAAACATATATCCACGAAGGTTAATACATGAAGACTTGTGACTCGGACTTGACTTGGACTCTTCTTAGGTGACTCGGACTTGGACTCGGACTCGAACACAGGTAATGATGACTCGACTCGGACACTCCTTGGGTGACTTGGACTCGGACTCGGACACAGGTAGTGATGACTTGGACTCGACTCGGACACTCCTTGGGTGACTCGGACTTGGACTCTGACACGACTATGACTCTCCCTTGGTGACTCGGACTCGAAGAGTGGTGACTTGAGAGTGACTCGGACTCATAAATTGGTGACTTGACTACAACACAGATACTGTATGTGTACATACTGAGTGTGACTGACATGGTTTCCTGGTCATGTAATGTACAGTGTAGAAGCATTAGCTTACATCCTTGCTGTCACATGAGCTCCAGCATGTGTTAATGAACCGCGCTTCCAGAGGATTCCACTCTCTGAGGGGGGGCATGGACCAGACTGTACAGAGGGACTGCAACACAACACAATGCTAACTGTGGGGCTTTAACTCTCTGTGGTTTCAGTTTAACCTCCAACAGGAGGGCCCTTTTACTGCCTGAATGTTTCATGAAATGAAGACCAACATTTATCAAACAATAGACTAGGCAGATTGTGTACTTCATCAACATGCATAGGTAGGGAGGTGGAAGAAGTATACTCAAATATTTTACTTTGGTAAAAGCAGCAATACTACAGTTTAAAAATGCTCTATAACAAGTAAAAGCTGTGCATTTAAAATGTTACTCAAGTAAGGGTACAAAAGTATAATTCAGCCTGTAACAATGTTTTTACAGCTCTGAATTATTTGCTTTACATCCTAGACATCCACATAAAATAATGTTCAAATTAAATTAAAGAACATTTAGGACTTTGGAAGATGCTTTGTGAATCTGTATATGTGTCAAATATATTTTACTTCGAGCTAAAAAATTGTTTTAGGAAAGCAACATAAAATAAAGTGAGTGATGAGTATCCACTTCAAAATAACTACTGGAGACATCACACCACACACACACACACACACACACACACACACACACACACACACACACACACACACACACTGAACGTCTCTACCACACACACACACACACACACACACACACACACACACACACACACACACACACACACACACACACACACACACACACACACACACACACACACACACACACACACACACACACACACACACACACTGTGCTGTCCAGTCTCCCCCTGGGGGTCAGGTCAGTCTGAATGTTTTTCACATTGTATAAGATGTTATTTATTCAAATATAACATTTATTCTTTGCATAGTGAATTTAAATTGTTCCCCAATAAACGTTATGTCTTCCCTTGCTTTTTTACAAGTTGGTTTATTTTTTATATGTTTTAATGATTCTATTATTTGTGCCTCTTTATTTTTTTTTAATTCAATGGCTTGTTTAAATGTGTTGATTTTTTGTTGGTTTGTGCATTTTAACTTTGTTAAGTCAGCTAGCTCAACTGCATTGATGTCTAAGTATTGATGAATGTCTAACGGTTTGTATTTGGGTCAAAGACTCAGTGTCCAGGCCTCTCTGCTCAGCTGGCTGGTTTGTTTTCTGAATATCTTTCTCTAAATCAATCTGCCATTGTAAATATTAAATACATACAAAAAAAGGAAAGTTACATTTGTTACAAGAGCAGAATGTAATTTAACCAGTGTTTGTCAGTACTCATGAATGTGAAATAAGTGGTATCAGTATTTACAATATACTGTAGTTTATAGAAGAACATGTTTCATCAGTGCTTAATGCAATAGTTGTTGCATTTTATATGGTGTTGGTCCAATGCACATACACTCACACACACACACCCCATACTTCTTAAAAAAGGTGCAGTTGTAGCTGTGTATTGATTTGCAGCACATATGTTGTATTATTTATCAATGATGTTTGGTACCATCTGATAGTGACTTTTCCCAGAATGGATTTCTAAAAGGTGAAAGTTAGAACACACCTCTGGGATTTGGAAATGGTTTACTGAATGTAATACCCAATGTTGTTTGTCATTTATGCCTGCAGATGTGACAAATGGGACACATTTTTGCTTTTACATTTTTGTATATAATGATTTACCACTGTCTTTCTTCTCTCCTTGATATGGTTCTTGTTCATTTGTATACCAGACAAATCATATGGGTTGTGGTTAATTATATTGAAATGTGTTTCCAATGTTTTCCCCCTTCATGTATGTTAATGAGGTGGACAACAAAATAGGAAAAACTTTCAATATAATTCTCTGTAAAAAAAAACGCCTTCAAAATGTACTTAACATTTTTCAAAAGAAGTGACTTTGAAGATGTGTATATCTTAATGAATCTTTGTAAAGAAAGCCATGACATGAATTCATTAGCACCTTGCTCTCCCTCTCTTCTCCCCGCCTCACCTTTCTGCTGGGTGATTTACTGCAGTGTGAGCAGGTCAGTGCGCTGGCTCTTTATTGGTCATTAGTTGTGATGTTGGCAGGTCTCACACCTCTGGATCCTGGGTGGCCCTCCGCCTGCTTCAAAGTCCAACCAGGTTTGTCTGAGGGGGAAAGATCCTCTCAGCTGCTCGTTTTCTATCATTTCAAACTTGTTAAAATCAGTTCATTTTAAAAAAAAGATGAAAATATGTCTCAAACTTAGTGGCACAAGTCATGTCAAAAGTATTAGTGTGCAGACAAAAATAAATGCATTTTTTAGTCACAAAATGTAGTACGTTGATTTCTGATATACTTCTATCACTGCTCTCTATCAGCAGCCAATGAAGACTGCTGTCCAACAAACATAACCAACAACAAGAAAGTGTGTGATTTTCACTCAAGGTTAATATTTAAATAAATACGATTGTACTCCTTTATTTATAAGGGGATTGGTCAGCAGCTCCTATCATACCTTATACTTTATCTTGATGTAGAAGCACAGCTCCTTCCTGTAGCGAGGCCAGCAGCGTTCATCACACAGTCTGTGCCTCTGTGGATATTAAGACTTAACATTGTTTTAAACAGAAGTCTTGAACATTTCAATGAGTAAAATTAAAATTGGTTACGTGTAATTGTTCAGAAT